CTCGAAGATGGGATGAAAGTATTATTATATGAATTATGGGAAAATCAGAAGTTGACTATAGAATTCTAATGGAAAATTTGAATGAGTATGCTGAAATTGCTGAATCAATTATGACTACCAAAACGAATATGAAAATGTATTAGAGAAAAAACCGGCAGTTGTGGTTCGGAAAGTGGACCGTAAAGTATAGTTTTTCAAATTGGCTAACAAAAAGTAAATCTTGAACATGTCTAAACTTCGTGAGTGGCAGTTCCAATCCTCCAACGAAAAGCGAGCCTTTCTGTAAGTACGTTTTTTAATATTATTAGTTTTAGTTTTCTTGTTTTGTTTTTATTTGAGTTGGATGTATCTTGCTGGAAAATTGGTCAATTTATTTCATGCCCGAATTGTTTTTATTCAAGATGAATGAATTTGTCGAGTGGAATTAAATTCTTTAATTATAATATCCATAAAACCTCTTTCAAGCGAGTAAGTTCGAGTTACGATTGTGGAGGTGAGTACCCACTCGTGACAATACTTCCAGGAAAAATAATATCACGAGTTGTATTCCTATGACTATTCCACTCTTGATCTCGAGAACAAATCAGAATCGACCATTTTCATGGTTTCTTCTGTATTCTAGCGATATTTTTTGTTTATTAAATTTTATCGGACTTGCTCTACCAATACAGAAGCCGAATTGACCCACACCTCGTTTATCAGCGATAAAATTTTGACATCGTGTCTGGTCAAGATTGCTTTGGATTCATATCTGAGACAATAACCTGAGTTCCTACTTTATTTTATTTACTTATAATTCGCGTCAGTGAGATATTTTGTACGAAAGGCGAGACAATTTTATTCTGGCTGGACGTTTCATGTGTAATTTAAAAAGTTTGCATATTTGTTGACGGTCTGACACAACAATAATAGAATTCAAATTCCTTTTTGACGTAATCTTCTTCAATTAGTCAAGTTATTGTGACTGACTAATATAATTACTAGCTGATGTGGCGCAAATGTTAGGGTTGTTGCGCGAGGATACGAAGGTCGATGGTTCGAGCCCTCGGCGACGATATTTTTTTTTTTTTCATGTCACATAAATTCAATTTATTTTGTTTGAATTGGATAGTAATTGTATGCACTCTTTTGAAAGCAACCATCTCCAAGATAATAAAAAAATACTGCTTATCAAAATTGTACATTCCACTTTGTGAATAACTATAAGTAGGTAGTTAATTTCTAAAAAAGTAAATTCTGTATTTCATTACTATCATTATGTTCTTCTTCGCAGTTCGAGTTGGAATATACTTAAATTATGTTTCCTATTTCTTGTATATATATATATTGTTTTATTCAATCATGAAATAGTCATACGAATACAACTCGTGATACTATTTCTCCTGGAATAATTCGTCGATTGACATACTCCAGCTTGCTGCTTCAATTTCGCTCATGACATTGATCCAAAACTACTCGCCTAGGGCTCGTAGTTTTGATAACAATGTCATTCACGTAATTACTAGGCAACAAGCTGTCGTAACAATTGTAATGTCCTGTCTTCAATTAGATCGTAGTTCGAGTTATCGAAACATGTTCAGGAGTGCAGGGAAGAACAGCAGAAGATAGTTCACTTTTTACTGGTTTATTACAGAATAGTTATTAGTTCTTTCAGAGTTCAAACCGGAATGTTCTCTGTAACTACAATACCTAATTGATAACCTCCCTATTACTATAAACAATAAATTGATGAATAATCTAATTATCGTAACACTTTCGGAAAAGCTGTGTTGGACTGTTTCGAAAGGGTACCTGATTTCAATGACATAATTAAACAATATATTATAAACATCCACTACACAATCACCGAATATTTCCGGCAAAATATTATCACTTGTAGTATTATATATGAGTATTTCATGATTGAGACAATGAACGAGCGACTCGCGAGAGTTGCGCACACTGAATCCACTTCCAACATAATTGACATTATGAAGATAAAACATTTTATCGCTGAAAAACGCGGTTGGTTGGTCTCGTGTGAGTCAATTTCGCTTTTGTATTGGTAGAGCAAGTCCGATAAAATTTAGTAAACAAAAAAATATCGCTGTTATACATAAGAAACCATGAATATGACCGATTCCGATTGGTTCTTGAGAACAAGAGTGGAATAGCCATAAATAATATAGACAAGAACACTCATAGAAAAAACGTTGTACCAAACTCTTGAGGAAAATGACTATTTCTACAAGCGTGCGTGATTCAACCCATACCCGCACGCAATTTAGTTTGGGAAGTGTCATTTTTCCACACTAGTGCGAGAAAAAACATTTATACAGTCTGTCCAAGATAAGGTTGAACAGCATGGGGATCTCGAAAACGGTAGGAGATACGAAGTCGGTTAAATGGGGAAAAAGTTGCGCATTCGGAGGCTCATATCAAGAGCCTTCGAAAATTTTTAAAATTATTTTTAGTTTTTTAGTTATATCGAAAAAAGTGAATTTTTGGAATATCAATTTTTTTTCTCCGTTATTATTAGAGATACAGAAAAACTGAAAATACTTTTTCATTGCAACTTTTGATGACGTTTAACGTGGTTATACCGATTTTTTTATGCGACGTTTCGTATCCGTAGAACCATCATCAACTTTTGTTTTTTAAATACGGTCCTGATAATTTTTTCACAGATTCTGAAAGGTTTTTTTATTCTGAATTCAATCATGTATTATACAGGGTGATTCGAATGTGTTTCGACCTATTTCTATCCATCATCAATGTTTTTTCGAACTTCCAAAGGAAAAGTGCCATCAGTTCCATTTATTTCTGATCATTTAGTGTCAAACATTGATGGATTAGTTATTCAATACTGAAAAGTGAATAACAAATATATCACTACATCATTCAATGCAGCGCTTAAAATTGTTGATGAATTCTTATACGAATTACTTTAACAACTTAATTTTGACAATACCTTGTAACATTCATAACAAATGTTCAAAATTATAATCATTATTTTCTGAACAAAGATATCCTTCTCTCACAGTTGCTTCTAAGACATTACTAAGCATTTCTGGGGTTATTTTATTGAATGCTTCGATGACACTGTCCCTTAGTTCTTCTTCATCATCAAAGCTATTTGCGTGTACAAAGTTTTTGATATATCCCCTAAAAAAAATCCAGCTGTGTCAAATCAGGTGACCCCGCCGGCCAAGGGACTGCAGAATGAGTACCAATCCATTTTTCTGGATAAAAACGCACGGACTTCTCTGGAATTATGTACCGGAGCGCCATCTTGTTGAAACCAACAGTTCTGAACTTCCGCAATCGGCAAATCATCCAGAGCTTCCTCAAGATGATTCTCAAGCAAATTTCTATAACTTTAGGAAGTCTGTGTTTCATGGTGAATAAAAGGACCAATAATTCATGTACCAAATATTGCAACCCACATATTGAAGCCAAAACGGTGTTGGTGTCTCGCTGTAATGTATAAATGTTCATTTTCTTTCTCGTGAACAATAATGTGTATTTTTTCTATCGAAGATACCATGATTAGTGACCATGCTTTTATCAGTTCAGATGATTGTTCGCGGAAAATCTGTAAAATTTTGACATTCTCTTGTATACCACTCACAGAATGTCCTGCGCCTTTCGTCATCGCCTGGTTTTAGCGCTTGACATATTTTGAATTTCTATGGATGGAATTTTTGTTTCTGCAAAATGAAATGGGTTGTTGATTGAAACCAGTTGATGAGGTATTAGTGTGTTGACTAATTTTCCTTCAAAATAAGTGGAACTGATGGCATTTTTCCTTTGGGATTTCGAAAAAACATTGATGATGGTTAAAAATAGGTCGAAACACACATGAAAAAACATTGATGATGGATAGAAATAGGCCGAAACACATTCGAATCACCCTGTATAATACATGATTGAATTCAGAATAAAAAACCTTTCAGAATCTGTGAAAAAATTACCAGGACCGTATTTAAAAAACAAAAGTTGATGATGGTTCTACGAATACGAAACGTCGCATAGAAAAATTGGTATCACCACGTTGAACGTCATCAAAAGTTGCTATGAAAAAATATTTTCAGTTTTTCTGTATCTCTAATAATAACGGAGAAAAAAAATAAAATAGCTATTCCAAAAATTCACTTTTTCTGAGATAACTAAAAAACTAAGAATAATTTTGAAAATTTTCGAAGGCTTTTGATATGAGCCTCCGAATGCGCAACTTTTTCCCCGTTTAACCGACTTCGTATCTCCTACCGTTTTCGAGATTCCCATGCTGTTCTACCTTATCTTGGACAGACTGTATGATCTCGCAAACTATGAGTGGTGGGTGTCACAATAAGGAAATTTTAGTTTTTTTCGTTGCAGTATTTAGTAAGTTTGTGAAAAATCATGCACCAAATTGCACTATTTATTGTGAAAATAAAGAAGTATTAAAAAATAATAATTGATTGTTTTATAAATCCCTCTATTGCCTGTCTGTAAATGATATGATGTGAAAAACAATTGTTGTCATGTCAATCAGAACACAAATTAGTTAGTGTAATTCTCAGAGTGACAGACAGAACGTTACTGTCATTTTCGATTCAGTGGAATTGCGATAAAAAACTTCCAGCTACAGATCCGATACAGATGATTTATTGCCAACGAAGTCTTAAGAAAGGTATGAGGAGCACTACACGGTATTTATTGAATGATTCAATAGTAAACAAGTGGAAACACCAAATGAAGAAAAAGTATTTTTGGCTCATTTCCTAGAAATGTCTGAAACCTAGAGGCCAAACACCATGGGCATGCTTGCTTCCGCAATAAGCTCACCTACATAATGCTTCAAACGGTACACACATTACACACATAATCAATTCCCTACGCTTTTAGAAAAAACAATGTTCTTAACTCATGCGGAAAGTGTCTTTCCCGCACTCGACTTCGCTCCGCGTCATTCGTGCATTTGCCGTCGCATGCAGAAAAGTACTACTTTCCGCACTTCTTAGGTAAATAACAATTACCTCAGATCAACGTTAGTGAAAATTCTCACCGGCGACCCCTGTTTTCGTCCTTTCAAACCGTTATGGAACATCGCATGATTCTCGTATTCCACCTTATAATCCAGCATGCGGAATTCCGGCATGGAATTCCTTATCTGAGGTTCCATGAAGTAGGGATAAATCCAGAACATCGGAAGATCTGTCCGGACATCGTTGAGTTTTTTATATTCCTCGTTTATGGTATTGAGGGTGTTGGCAATCAATTCTGTTCTACCTCCGAACGGTGGGTCTGTTACCAGCATAATGTTTTTCCCGCTGGAAATAATTCGAAAAAATACTACAACAGGTGAAACGATATAAATTATCATCCTCTACAACTACTTTATTTTCGCCTACATTAAAAACTTACAAAAATATTGTCTTTGGGAAAGATAATCAGCAAAAGAATGATGTAGATAATTTGACAAATCGTTATCGAAAAAGTATTATGAAAAATTAAAATTGAAACCGTCTCTGCAAAATACGAATTGACAATGAACAACAATGGCAGTTGTCATCAGGAAAAAGTGTCAAGGTTGCCGAACTTACCTGTTACCCAGCGAGCACAAAAACATCTCAGAGATGTTAAAAGTACGAGATTTCGAGACATTGAACCTCCACTGCGATGTTCTGTTCAGACATGAATAGAACTATTATAGAACAGCCAATGTCCGCCGCAGGCGGCAATTATCGTGATGTCCTTGATATGTCACAAAACTACCTTCTCCCTAATTCTTTTTGAAGCCTTTTCATGGACACAACAAAACATTTTCAACACGACTTGCGCACATTAAATCGCTGTAAAAAAAACATTTTCGATGTACTTTCCTGAAGCCCTTTGACAAAATGAACTTTTGCATTAGGATTCCATTTCCCTTGAATGAAAAAATGCATTAAAAATAGATTGAACATAAAAATATTTTCTTGATATGATATTACCTTCTTAATCGGTTTCTGAGTAGTGTAAACAAAAAAAAAATTATTCGTCTAGCCTCAGATCTTGACTTGTCAACAATGCCAACATTGTTCGTATGTTCTACTCACAGAACTCGTTCTACCTACTTGCATTAAAAGTTTTCGTACAACGATCATATTTTTATCAAGAAAAAAAAATCAATAGAGTGGTACCATATGTACAAATTTCTTCAAAACAATTTCAGATTCGTTCCATCTATTCGTGTAATTTTGATGAACCTTGAAAATCTTTGACAGTCTCATGTATATTGAAAATCACCAGAAATCTTTCATTTGTTGATGAATCATGCAAATCTCACGGAAATATTGCAATCTTTGAGGATCATTACAAATCTCATCCAAACTTCTTCAAAGCTCACAATATCCAATCTACTGTTCACCTTTTGTTGAAATGAAACACAACTCGGGCACGAATGAATCATGAACAACGAACATTACCTGCATTCTCTAATATCCAGAGATATTCATTCAAAAATTATGTTACATACATCATAACTATCATCACAAACTGAAATTGCAAATTCATCGAACGAAATTCCAAAATATATATCGTGTAATCGCCAATACGATTGAAAACGGTAACAACAAACGTTCAGTAGGTACATTCCAATACCAATAATCATCTGATATTTGATCGGAATGTCAACGTTATCAGCGTTTTCGAGACAAACAAGTGGCAAAAAAAACTGGATTTCAGGATCGAACACGAAATTCTCTGTTACTGGACCTTCGTACTGTTGGTACTTTGGTATTGCTTATTTTAAAGAAGTCATGTACTTACAGTTCAATAAAACATCACATAACGGCATAACGCCGGGAATGTATCACGCATAAATACCTAAATACCTCAACCACAGCTATCTGTTTCGCAGTGAAAATCGCCGGAAAAATAATTGCATTTTGTCACTTCACCGGGGCATGAATTCAACCACTTCTGATGTTATATTATGGTCATAATATAATAAACACGAGCACAAATGACATGGACAAGGGTTACGCTTGTTCACCACTCGGCTGCCATCAGCCGAATATTGTATGAAACAAGAGTCTCGAGATCATACCCGTGTGTTCACCGAACACGCCCGATCGTTCCCTAAGCGGTGGGGAAACGTAAACGGGCAGCAGTAACTACGTTATGAATATTGGCGCGTGCCTGAATTATTTTGGAGTCAAATTTGTCAATTTAATGTACTTCGAAACGGAACACTAGTAGTTGTGCCTTCTTGTTTTACATATATTATAGGTAGACATCAAATCAATACACATAGTGCTCTCGCCATCAGTATTTGCTGAACTTCGCTATGGGAAAAATGTTGAATAACTATATTGGGATGAAGAATGATCTATACAGGGTGTATCTAAATATCACCGAAATAATTCAAGGGATGATTCCTTGTGATATAATATGATGAATAAAGGTCATATAAACATGTGTCCTAAACTTGCTTCGTTTTCGAGGTACAGGGTTACGTCCTGATTTCGAATCCGAAGTGATTGTCAACCTATCTTGCCTCCTAATATCATTTTCCGGAAATGTTGGTGGGTCCATGACCAGAGCAGTGTTTTTCACTGAAGTTTGCCTCACTTTGGTCATAGTTGGTATATATATCTATCGCTCCTTAAAATTGAACAGTTTTAGAGTGTGTTTTTGTATGTGATATGTTTGTTTTGTTTATTTCAAATATATATATTTTTCTAGTAAGCATACTAGTACTTCTTTTATATAATTCTGAAATCTGATCCACCCTGTATTTGTTTCAATTAAATGGCATCAGTAGATAGTAAATAGAATGTTAGGATAGGGACACATGTAAGCCATTTTGACAAATCAATATAGGAATTGTATAGTTTCGATACAAAAAAAATCTCGATTTTTCACATTCTACGTATAGGTATACCTTGAGCTTGATCAACGAAATCATAGCTCAATTAGAAGAATCGAAAAATGTAATAAAATATAAGGTGTTCCATTCTGAATAACAAAGCTGCTACTAAGTACTACATAACTACTAATAATAATTTCTAGTGAAGCAGATGAACATTATCGAACATAATTTGAATAAAACGAGCGTCCTCGCCAACAAAACATAAGCATATCATATAATATGTACACATAGTTTCATGATTTTCGATGAGTGATTCGCTATTTACATGTAGGACTCGTCGTGACATAGCGAATTATTGCAAATCAAATCATCGCTTTCATTATCTGATAGGTCGCAGTAGATCACTTGATGCCTATCAAATGTTACTTATTTATTCGAAAAAAAAAATGTTGAAATGTGATCAAGAAAACTGTTGGTGGCCCACCCCGTACTACAAAAACAGAGACAGCATGAGAGATGCTGCCTGCCCACTCATTGTATCATGACTGTCTGCTTTCTTGCTTACGTCTTACGTCTCGGTCTCCCCACCGCTTAGGTAACGATCGAGCGTGTTCGGTGAACACACGGGTATGATCTCGAGACTCTTGTCTATATGAACCAGTCTTTACACAACTAGCGTCTAGCGCAAGGAGGTATTTGTATAAACACGTAGTGGGAGAACCGCGCAAGCGAGACGTGGACGCGGACAAACATCACCTATGCCTTCACCTATCGACATGCCCGACGAACGTTGGAGCGAAGGAATATATATAACCATTATAACAGTATGATGCAAATGTATGGAATAAATTCATTTCAAAACAAGACGACTTCCAAAAAAAAATCCAAAAAGTAGAGTTCAGAACTTTTTTATCGATGTATTTTTTCAACTAGACGACCCTTCGATGTTCAATTCTCAGTAGAAGATCTCTGCAAGATTCAGTTAACCAAATGATAATCCATTTTAATTTCAATCTTCTTTTGCAAAATTTTGACTATTGGATAGACGATCAGTAGACCTTTCAAACGAGGTGTCACATGACCCCTGTTTGTATTTAAAAAAACCGTCCATTACGTCATTACTCCAACACCGGTGACGTAACATCTCTCATATGAATGTCATGAGATGAGGTTTCAAAAATTAAAACTCATGTGTTTTTGGAATATCTTCAAATGTCGCCCATTTCTGAAATAATGAATTTATTCCATACATTTGCATCATACTGTATATAGAACTTCACATTTTCTCCAGATACTCTCTGCGATGACCACGTCATTCTGACCATCTACCAATTTTGGATTTTCAAATGGAATAATCTCCGAAGGGAATAATACATTCTGTACATCATTCTATCACTGATTATGGGTGGTAACGGTAAAGTGTGCGAGGGTAGGATGTCAGGTTGACGGAAGAGAAAAAAGGATTTGTCAGTTAAAAAGAAAAACGACAGATTGTATTTTTGGCAATAAAGTTTATTAAAGTTTGATTAGTTCACACTATTGTGTATAATCTGTATCTTCGCTATTCGTGGCACTGTCTATAAAGGGTAGTTATCAATTCAGAAGTGGTCAAGAATTCACCTCACGTTTGTGTAAAGGAAGATCTGTTGGAATGGATGATTCCGGAAGAAAACAATCTCCTTTGATAACACTAGACGATGATAGTGTTCGTGATGAACCATCATCAACTGGCGGTGGTCATACTGATGGAAAACAAGATCAACTAGTCGATAAATTCATGGACATGATGCTGACTATGGAACGGAACAGGCAAGATAGCGAAAATAGATTTTTTCAATTTATCCAAGGACAGGTATCCAGATCAGTTCGGGAGACAACCAATTTTCAAGTAATGCCAGATTTTAGCAAGACTATCGAGAATTTCAATGGTGAAGTTCTGGGGAGAACGGCGATGGGATGGTTAGAGAGATTGGAAAGCACTGCCCTTCTACACAATTGGCCTGACACATTCAAATTAGAAACAGCAAAAACACAATTGATTGGATCTGCTAAGGATTGGTTTAATGGAAACGCAGAAATAATCAAGACATTTTCTGATTTTAAATTTAAATTTGGTAAAACTTTCAACGTCCGTGAAAGCAAGACTCATGGAGAGAAATGGAGAAAAGTGTTCAAGGTAGAAAATCAATATTCTCATATTTCCACTACAAAGTTAAACTGTGCAAGGACTTGAACTTGGATTTTGATGAGATCAAAGAGCAAGTGGTAATAGGCTTGGCAAATAAGCAAATAATTCCTGGTTTGCTAGCAGCTGCTCATGTAGATGAAGATGCTATTCTAAATGATATTCATGAATTTGATAGAATCCATTGTCAAGCACAAGGACGGCATTTTCCTGGGAGTTATAAGACATTTTCTAGAAACTCGAATGGATTCAATGAACAAGATTCTTCAAGCAGTTCCGCGCCAGAGAGA